ATGCTGTGAGCGAACTAGACATATATAGTTGCTTTTCCACTCCACGATAGGGGAAAACAAAGGGCAGGAGACCAAGGGGTCTGCCTAAGGGAATGAAAGCCATTCTCCCCAGAACCACAATCAGGACACTTGCTTCTGTGACTTGCCAGTTTCTTTACTCAGTTAGTAGGATAGCTTACCTAGCATACATAAAGCCTTGGGTTTGATCTCTAGCACTGCATAAACAGATCATGGCGCTGCAGGCTTGGAACCCTAGTCCTTGGGAGGTGGATGTGGGAGGGTTAGGAGTTGAACTTGAAGGTTATCTTCTATATAGTGAGTTGGAAGTTAGCCTGGGCTGTATGAGATCCTGACTCCAAACAAACAATCGGGCACCCAGAGTTTAGAGTCACTTTGGTTGTTGAGAAACAGCCTCAACAACCCAGATGTAATCATTATGCATGATCTCAGTTTCCTTGACTTCTCTGGAGCCCAGGCACAGTTCATCACAGGGCATCACAGCACCACCAAGCTTGGGCTGTAGTCCAGGTGTTGCCTAGGCTGCATTCTCATATAGAGCATGGGGTCCTTTTCCAAGCTGCTTTCACCTTCTGGCAGGACTGAGTTCCTTGCAACTGTAGCACTCAGACCTTCACCTCCTAAGGCTCTACTTTCTTCTTTATGGCCTGGCTGCTTCCACAGGGCTAGCAGGAAATGCTCTCTCCAGAAAGACCCCTGATCTTTCTTTTAATGGCTTTTTCACCCAATTAATGGCTAACCCAGGAGCAAGCCCCTTCTGTAAGTTCAACATCACTTGATAGGAAACCTTAAATTACATCTTGAGACTATTTTTATATATTATAATAAGTTGTTTGGTCAGATGCATGAAAAAATATATCCTCTCAAAGAATGAGAATTGAAGTGAGTTATTCAGTATTTGCCAATCACTATAGTTAGAAGAAGAAAGAAAACAATCCAAACCAAAATAAAACACCATTTCCTGTTAGCCAGCTCAGGGATAAACATGAACCTCTTCAATTCTGAGATTAGTGTTTTTGTCAAAGCCCTAAATCACCAATAAAACTGATAGTACCCTCATCCAAATATAAACATCATAAAGCCAAGTAGCTGCCAAGCACAAGGCCCCGGGATCCATCCCCAGCACTACATAAAAATGGGTGTGGTTATGCATGCCTGCAGTCCCAGTACTTGAGAGGTAGAGAAAGGAAGACAGGAATTCAAGGGTCGACCTTAGCCACACAGTGAGTTTCAGACTGGCCCAGTTCTCCTCCTGAGTCATCTGTTATCCTAGTGTCCTAGTGCCTAGCCCACTCAACATTTGCTGGGAAAAGAGACATAGCAATGCTACTCAGCTCCCTGGAAGAGATGGTCTTGACCACGGTCTTTTTTGTCACACTCCTACAGGGAATTGAGTCACCTCTTCCCTCCTAGAAGTCAACTCTTTTTTTTGTTTTTTTGTTTGTTTGTTTGATTGGAGACAGGATCTCATTCAGCCCAGGCTAACTTCCAACTCCAGAGTACTGGGATTAAAGGTTGTGTACCACTACTGCTTGGCCTGAGACCAGGTTTCTTGTAGCCTAGGTTGGCCTTGAACCCTCTATGTAGATGAGGATGACATTGCACTTGTCATCTTCCTGCTTCTACCTCCTGAGTGCATGGCTTACACGTGTGGGCCACCACACCTGGTTTCTGTGGTACTGGGATGGAATTTAGGGCTTCCTGCATGCTAGGCAATCATTCTACCAACTGACCCGCATTCCCAACCCCTAACTGACAACATCCCTTTAGAAGCTTCCCTTTTCCATATATGTGGAGCCACTGTTGGTATCACGAAGCTCTGGAGCTTGTGTGCTTTGTACTTGTTCCCCAACCCAACGGCATTCCCCTGCATGTGTCCGAGAATCAGGGAAAGACACAGAGCGTGGAGTTCAGCATTAGATGTGGGGATCTGAGG